TGGTTTGTTGTTAGTTGCTGACTGAAAATTGTGGGTGGGTTGCTGACTGAAAATTGTGGATGGTTTGTTGTTGTTATTGTTATTGCTGACTACTTTCTGATTACTCGCTGATGTTTATGGATGTTTGAGGGATGATAAAATGTAGAATGGAATGCGTTCTATTTTTTTTTTATATAGTGAAAGAGACAAATGCACACACACACAGACACTAAAGAAAGAGATAGAGAGAGAGAGAGTATCGTTAGGATCGTTTTTCCCGAGGGCATTTTCTTTATTCCAAGCATTTTTCTTTTTTAAGAAAAGGGAGGAAAAGGGAAGAGTAAGGGTAAGGGTACGGTCGACAGGTGAAAGAACCTTTTCTCTTCTTCTTCTTCTTCTTGTATTTTCCCTTAACTTTTTCTCCTTTCCATTTTCTTACATCTATCTTGGCAAAAGGGGGTTGGTTGGTTGCCTCGAAGCCATCTACGATGGTATTCATGGGGAAACTTCGTCTTCGTCGATCTTTTTTCATATATAAAAGAACATAACCGATTGAAAAGAGACAGAATGAGAGAAAACTAGAAAATTCAAGAAGAAAAAAAAGAAAACAAAAAAGAACAAATAAAAGAATAAAAAAAAAAAGAAAAACTGTAAAGTATCGTCTTTTATATGATGGGGGTCGGTTCCATCATTTCCCACCCCTTTTCTTTTTTTTTTACAAAGAAACATTTTTTTTCTAAAATAAAAAATATTCCCCCTAAAATATCTGCTAAAACTTAATGAAATATTTATTGTTAAAAACAATTAGATAATATTAATAAATAAATTTCTATTCTATATTTCTTTCTATCTTTCTTTGTGTGTGAAAATAACATTTGCAATGTTTTCGTAAAAAAACTCACAAATAAAACGGGGTTGGAACAATTTTTGTTTCCATATTTTCCTTTTTACAAAAGTATTCCTCAACCACCTCCATACTACCACCACCCCCTTCGATATTGAAGAAAATAATACCCACATGACTGTACTGATTTTTCTCTCTCTTTTTCTTCCCTCCCCTTTTATTTCCGTGCGCCTTTCTTGTTCCCCTTAACCAGTCGACTTCGTTCAACCCCCTTCCTCCCCCTTCTCTCTCTCTTTCTTACACACACACACACACATATACACAGATTCTTTCTCGTTTATGCACGCGCGCACGCGTCTTACTCGTTCGCCGTTTATTCAACCCCACCCGACGACTGTTATTCGTCGACACCGTTGCTGACTGCTGGTACACACGCCATTGCAAAAAGAGAGAGAGAGAGAGAGAAGCCAACATGAGAAAAAAAAAACATGAAAACGACAGAAAGAGAGAGACGCATCGCACCTCGGGAGAGTCGTTCGACTCCATCATCATCGCCATTATCACCACTACAACCACATATTACTTTCATCTACACCAAACCCTGACACAACCAATATACATAAAATCATTGGGGATATATATCTATATAGTATCACATACATATATGCATACATACTCTCTCAATTTGATCGTGTTAGTGTACTATAGGTACACATAACATATACACACCCACAGATACACATACACACACACACACACACACACACACATGTACACGAATTTACATGTCACAGCATCCAAGGGTGGGGCTGGGTTTCACGCATCTAACATAAAAACCGATCCGTGTGTGTTAGATTTTGCCTTTCTGACTGACTAAAGAGAGAAACCAGGGGGTGGTAGATGAGATGGTGGTTGTAGAAGGAAAAGGAAAAGGAAAAATACAAAAAAAAAAAAGAAAATGGAGACACGTGTGAGAATTGTAGTAGAACGCGCGTCCTGTGGGCTTCAAAACCGTGATACGCGTAAAGGTTTTATGTCGGTCGAATGGAGAAAGAAAATAGAATGAAAAAGAGGGATATATGGGGGTGGTGGGATGGGGAAAAGGGGAACTGAAACTTCCCCCTTTTTTTTTAACGATCGATAAAGCTTTTCTCCTAGTAAAAGGGCGGATGGGTAGAAGGGGTAGGAGGGCGGACGTCGATAAAGCGATCTTTCTAAGTTTTCGAAAGGTTGTTCACGGCTAGTGTGGTGTCTAATAGAATGTAATAGGGGGATATGATGGGGTGGTATTTGTCTCTCTTATTTGACTTTCTTTTTTTTTCCCCCTATTTAATCCTGTCTGAATCTTTTACTGACATGCCATACGATGAATAAAGTAGAATAGAAGGGCAAGGGTTGTACTATGATACACTTAAAATGATCTTTAAAATATTTGTTTTGGTTTTGGATTTTGTTTTTATCATTATAGTTGATCTTATTATTATTATTATTATTTAAATACAACAATATTTTGTATCAATAAATATACAGTTAGATAAATTTGGAAAAATGATATAGACCAAAAAGTAATAGGAAAAGGGAAAAAGGGTGGTGGTGGTGATGGTGCAGCTCCATAAAATGAGCTTTATGGAAGATTTACATTTCTATTTATAAAGTTAAACGTGCATGAAATGCATAAGACTTTCTTTTCGTTCCGTCAAGTTTAAACGAGAAAAAGAAGAACTTTAAAACTTAGTTTTATCTTAGTTTTATAGTCGAGTTGAGTGTTACAGGTTGAGAAGTTGAGTAGTGTCAGCATCGTTGCTGATGCAACACGATGCCCATTCTTAGAATTCATCAAAAGGAGTAGTGTTGTAAATAGGATATAGATAGATAGATTGGTATGCTCCTGTTCATTTTCTTATTCCATTTATACTTTTTTTTACCAATCAATCCTACAACACCAACTATATAAATATCTTATACATCCTTCCTTTTTCCGGAAGTTAGTTCTATTCTAAAAAAAAAACTTCTTTATACTAATATATAAAGAAAAAATAATATGCTAGATTGGTTTAGGACTTCGATCTATCGATCTATCGAACTTATATATATCGATAGATCGATAATCGATACATCGAAGATCGATATATCGATAGTTCGATAATCGATATATCGAAGTTCGATAATCGATAGTTCGATAATCGATATATCGAAGTTCGATAATCGATATATCGAAGTTTGATATATCGATAGTTCGATAATCGATA